ACCTCTGTTGTCCGCTGACTCACTCCTCGTCTTCTTCTTGGGTTTTGGCTTGGTTTTCGCATGACTCTTCGCTTTGCTTTGAGGTAGTACAGGTGTTGCTTTATCCGGCTTGGTCGGCGAAGCCTTGACCTTTGCGGATGGAGCTGCGTTAGGCGTTGGTTTCTCAGGTACCTTGGCCGGTGCAGCAAGCAAATCCTTGCCCTCAAGCATCTGGCGCAAGCCAATTTGGGTCTGAGTGAGATTTGATTGTTCTCGTCTCCGCATGATGGTACGGTCAATGATCTTCATCAAATTGTCGTACGATCGGTCTTCATGATTGTAGGGCAAGTGTTCGTAGTGCATGCCCAACTCCATTTTCATTGCGGGCGAGTCCTTGATCTTGCTGTACAAGCAATCACGGAGAGCTGTTTTGGATGGTATATCTTCTGGCCTCATCCGTCCCAGAACTTCCAACCACGTCTGCTTGAACGTATGAAGCTTGTTGTCGCCTTGGTACTGGAGCTTCACCAGATACTCGAGAGTGATGATCATGTCGAGACGATCATGTGTTCGAAAGCTTTCATACATCATCGCAATGATTTGTCGTCCTTTGATGATCTTCCCTTCGGGCCTGCTGATGTAATCGTTGGCCTTCCGGTTCACCTCCAAGTACAGGTCAGCAGATTTGTCACCACCAGCACGTAGCATTGCGACCATTGCGATCCCCAATTTGACGTCTACGCTCTTAAACTTCTTGTGTCCTGAATCGTTCAGTGCTTCGACATCAGGGAATGGGTTGAATGCTGGTGCCAGCCATAACATCCAGTCCTCATGATTTGGATCGGCTGATGCTCCTAAGACATTCGCCGTGCATACGGATCGCCAGTTGTTGAGGTGAGTGAGAGTAGGCCATGGAGGTACGGTCACTTTGTCGGCCTCCCTCCTGGAAATTCTCACTTCCGTGACTTCAGGATCTGCGTCTCCATCAGGATCACGCGCATGAGATCCAGGATCCGATTCAGGTTTGCCTCCACCGCTTTTCTTCTTATCATCATCATCATCAGGCGGGTCAGGAGGGTCATACCCCGTGCCGGTTCCTTCATCGTGCTCTCCATCTTCGTTCTCGTCGCCAGCCTCGTCACCGTCATCGTCTCCATTATTCTCCTGAATCGTTTCAGCGAATAATCTCCACTCATCACGATCAGTTCTGAGACGTTGTTCGGCTTTCTGGGCCTTGAGTACTTCGCCTCGCAGATCGGCAATCTTCTCCTCGTACCGTTCCGCGACCTCTTTCTCGATCTGACGTCTCCTTGCTTCATGAATGGAATCGTCATAGGCAATAGGGGGACCGATGAGGTCGTTGCCCTTCGTAGATGCGGTGATACCGTCGACACCAACAGGTCTTGAGGAGCTGGCAGATGCTGTGGACTTCGATCCCAACATCCCGCGATCCTCCAAGAGTTCGCGTAGCTGTCGATCACGCACGGCTGCCGCATCACTTTTCCCATGAAATCCGCTTGGTATGCCGAACAAAGTGGCTGCACTAGGCGTGGAACGCGCAAGTGCTGGGCTGCTAATACCTGGCACGTAGTGCTCGGGCATTGCATCCGCCACGATTGGCATTGAATTGCGGCCAGTGAAGAAGTTTCCACCGGTAAATGGAATTCCATCCATCACAAGGTTCTTGTCCTTGTCCGATTCCGAGAATGCGAACTTCTCTTTGGCGACTGGACTAACTTGACTTGGGGACCGTATTTCAGGGGATCGTACCTCACCTCCTACGGAAAATGCAGGCACTACTTCCTTTCCTACGTGCTCCCAGCCAGACTCAGTAGTTCTCGAAGACATGGGCATGCTTGAAGGCCGTGTCGCTCCTCCGTAATTAGAGTTTCGCGCTGCCTCCAATTCGCTGCGTGTCCTCGCTTGAAGATCTTCTTGTGCTTTGAGCGTTTTCCTGAGTTCACTCAGCTCGTCGTGCAAGGTAGGCAATGATCGCCTTGCATGATCTTCATTCTGATGAAGTCGGTCCTCTGCTTCTTGCATCCTCTTCACAGCCATTTTGCGGTACTCTTCCTCTTCACCAAGACGTTCGCGAAGCCGAAATCGTTCTTGATCAATGGCTGCGCTGTTTCCAGCTAGCCCTTGGATCTCGTTCACGGCCCGCAACTCCTGGTTCTTGACCAAGTGGAATCGTTCCTGCATTGCTTGTAAGGCTTGTTCCGAACTTGCTGTGTTTGACCGGAGGACCAAGTTCTCTCTGGCATGTTCATGAAGTTCATGAGTCAGACGCTCATACTCACGTGCCATAAGCTCACCATCGCCTTGCGCTCTTGCCTCCAACTGCACAAAGTTAGTGGCTGCCTCCGTGCGGAACACGTGTAGCTGTTGAGCTAACTCCTCGGCAACGGCATGTGCTTGACGTTGTTGAGCAGAGTTCTGTTCATCCATGCGAAACAAAGCTGTTTCATAGTCTCGCTTCATCTCCTGATTGACATTGTTGATGTGCCTCATGGCTAAGCATGCATGGTCACGTTGTCGTTCCAATTCTTCAATGCGAATCCCAGATCCTTCATCTTCTTGTTGCATCTCCTTGATCTTGTCCATCAGGGTCTGAACAACTCCTTCGTATTCTTGCATCTGACTGCGATAGTACATCTGCTGCGCAAGGTTAGATGCTTCGAGCTGTTGCGAAATCGTCAGTTCCTGATAGGCATTCGGACCATCGGCTATGGCTGGCGTGGTCACCGATGACGCATCACCACGTGCTGGGATAGTGTCCAGAGTCATATCCAGATCGTCAGCATCACGTGGTTGATTGGTAACCATCCGATTCCAAGTCATGGATTTGTCACGCCCACGAGTAGCCGAAGTCCTCGATCGTGCTGAAGAGCTTCTCGAAGATGATGGTCTTGACTTCTTTTCCAAGGTCTTCACTCCTTTGTCCTTGGCCCTGGACGTAGTCCGAGGTGCCTGAAAACCAGACGCTTCGGCTCGTCGTTCGGGAGCCTTGCCCGTCCTCGAACCTGTGGATGTCGGACGCGAAGGCGTAGATGCTCTTGGTAGACTCTTTGCTTTCACCTTGGGAACTGCCTTTGCAATGGCAAGCGCAGAAGATTGACCTTTGTCATCTTCCGTGGAGCTATCAACGGATTGCACCACTGTGTCATCAGCTGTTGACTCACCAACGGCTGGCGCTGCCACATCAGCACCGAAAGTCATTGTCGTATCTTGGCTTGATCCCGAGTTCATTGTGGTCGTAGTAGATCAAGTAGTCGTTGCTGTAGAAAGGCAGAGCCGCGTACGGCTGATAACCTGCGTGGGGGATTGATCTCGACTAGGTTGCTGCTCTCCCCACCAGAGCTGTAATGAATGTAGGTGTGGTTGGCTTGCACTCTCCACAGACTGGACCCTGTCTCTCTTACACTTCCACGCGTGCAATCCTATGCAGGCAGAACCGGCGGCCGTTCCTTTTGCACTCACTGCCGGCGGCGGTTCGTCTGTGCAACGGGATAGCTCTGATTGCTCAGGATAGAAGACGCTTATAGCACTTAGCTATGGGCATTGACTTGAGCCTTGAGCCAAACGTTGCGTGGGCGGTCACATAGAAAGGTAAAGATGAGGGACGCGTAGCGTGCCCCCTTAGAGTCGAGGGACGCGTAGCGTGCCCCCTTCTCTTGCACTTTACACGGTCTTACTCACAGCTCTTATAGTGACACCTTAGAACTTGACAAGGCATCGCAGTCCGTTCGCAACTACTACTACTACTACTACTACTACTACTACTACTACTACTACTACTACTACTACTACTACTACTACTAGACTACTACTACTACTACTACTACTACTACTACTACTACTACTACTACTACTACTACTACTACTACTACTACTACTACTACTACTCTACTACTACTACTACTACTACTACTACTACTACTACTACTACTACTACTACTACTACTATATTACTACTACTACTATACTACTACTACTACTACTACTACTACTACTACTACTACTACTACTACTACTACTACTACTACTACTACTACTATATACTACTACTACTACTACTACTACTACTACTACTACTACTACTACTACTACTACTTTTTTCTTTCCCTCGCAGCAAAGATCCAGCTTCGCTAAGCGTCCCTTCTACGGCGACATAGGTTATGTCGGCGCGAGAGTGCGCACCCCAGTTTTGGGGCCCGGTAAAAGTGGCTCCGGCACTAGTGCCTGCGAGCCGGTCTGGCAAAGTAAGAGGCCTCACACGTTTGGTGATGCACTGACAACTGGCTCGTCAAAAGTGATGAACGAATGTTCATCGTTTCCCCCTTTCCTTTCGTATGCCCCATTCAGGAAAGTGCCCCGTCGGTACCAGGCAGATCAGACAGACCTGACCAGTGCGAACACATATCCTTGATGCATGGCTGAGGCAGGAAGTGAGGCTTGGGCAACCAGACGACGATTGTCATCCGACAGCCAGCATCGGCCCCTGTGCAGATCAGCTGCTGGGTCCAGTAGCGCTGCAGTGTAGTGGCCAGTAGCCGTATGTGGGCCGTGGTGCATGATAACAGCCGTAACATGGTATCTGGCTCGGAATGTTGTGAGGTGTCTACCCCAAATCGGCACAAAGACTGAATCGGGAATCGTGATAGCCTGGCTGTTCTTGACAGCCACCCCATTATCAAAATCATACCTGGCCAGTTGCACAAAACACAAGGACGAGGCTTGGCAGAGAGCATGCGATTGGACCTGATTGTGCCATCCATCAAGACAGTCCTGCAGTGTCTGATGCCGTGGCTGCATGTGCAAGATAATGGGAGAGTGCAGACTGCCAGAGTCCTCGCGGTACGTTTCGCCTCTTTCCAAAGTGCGGGATTCCCAGGCTCCTTGGAGTACGGGAGGCTGCATTTTCGCAAGTACATGGGTCATGAAGGCTGAGACGTCGTGCTGTGCCGATGGTCGTTCCCACCCACGCCACAAAGGTGCCCAGGATGGCAGCCTGGACAATGCTACACTGCTTTTGTGGTAGAGAACATCTCTCCACGCCTGCACTTTAGTACCAAAGAGCTGTGCTTCAGGCACCTGCAGAAGCTGGTGGCACCATAGCAGCGTGAATGCAAAGGAGTTTGCATAGCAGTGCTGGGAGCGATTGAGCAAGCAGAGCCTGTGTAGTCCTGCAGCAATTTCTGCACGTCGTTGGCAAGCGAGCTCCGCTTGAGACTGTCCCGCTTGAGTTGCATTCCGCACAGCTGTAGGGCCGTCGAGTTCGATAAGAATTCGAGGGCTGTCCAGACCTTCTCGACTCCCGGGGCCCGCAATCCCACCTCCAAGAGAAAAGTCGTGACTTGGTCGGGATTGGCCGGAAGGCCGTTCGTGGCATTGAAGCGATGGATCACGTCCTTCCCCGTCACGGCTGTCACCAACAGGGTGACGTGATTGATGACCTCCTGGTGTGTCACCGCTGCTCTTGCCTCGTCGGTTTTGAGAGTCTGGTTCTCCGGGTCCCAACGTTGGTATACCCATTTTCCCTCCGCATTCAACCATCCTTTGGTCTTGGCTTGAGCTTGCTGATCCGGTTGTGTGGTCAAGGTCTGCAGGCATGCCAGCAAGGTCCGAAAGAGTGTACTCAGCAGAACTGCTCGCAAGGGGGCCTCCATAAACTTGGTTTTCGAGGCCTCGCGGTAGGTGGCTGCAGTCTTGAACAGAATCGGCATTGCACCTGTCTGGCCCGGTTTTAAGTAGAGGGTCCAGGCGGAGTTTTGCTTCAGGATCTGCAGCTGGGTCTCTTGGCGGATGACCAACCTGCCCATCGCCTTGATCAAGGCCGCCTCCTTGTCCTGACGATCCTGCCGGTTCTGTCCCTTGTAGCGAGGACCGAATCCCCAGCCTGAAGGCTCGCCATAGGGTGCCCTCTGGCGCTTGTCTGTTCTGGTGTGCTTGTGTGGACGGTCGTTGTCTGATAACGTGTCCTCCGTGAGCAGATTGGCCAGTTTGCTGGCTCCCTCCATGGCCACTGGCCCGAAGATCTCCATGATCTGCTGGTCTGAAGAAGAAGAACTTTCCCATATGTACTGCCGCCCGATCGACAGCACAAGGAAGACGGCCAGCCGCTCCAACCAAAGATTCAGCTGGCCATCACACCTCAGTCACCTTAGTGGTTCTGGCCCCATCTGGTATCCCAGATGAGAGCCTGAACTTTGCCCATGTACTCCAGAACAGAAGTACCTTGGCGTTGCCAGCCAAACCTTTTGCAGAGACCACTGCTCGGGACTACGGGCCTGCACTGCAAGAGGGGTGAGTGGATACATCTCCAGAAAACGTGATCATGAGTGCCAAGCTCATTACACCACATACACTTAGCGGGAAAAGGACTACAGGCATCAAACTGGAACCAAGCAGGGGTAACGGTGGCGCCAAGCGCGACCGTTCGCGCAGGAGCATCCGAGGCAATGAGCTTCTTGATGCTTTTCCAGTCCATCCTAAGAATGGAGCTAGGGACAACCCGCCCGAGAGAGGCAAGCTCGTGTCTGCCGGTTTTGACAAATCTGCTCCAGCACCAGAGGCGCCAGCCTTCACGGAGGCAGTGCTGAGCCTTGTCAAGGCCTCTGCCCGTGCAGAGTTCTATGCGTGGCCCACCTTCCTTAGTCCATATCCAAGGCCTGAGCTCCTGAAAACCCCGCTGCTTGAACCATTTGCGAAGCACCGCGACCGGAGCACCCGCCTTAGCATTCCAGTGCGAAAGCCCTTGCTCCCTGAGCCGCCAAACGACTCGGAACAAGTTAGAAGCTGCGATGATATCGAGGTGAGAGTTCCCACCAAGAATCAAAGCACGCATCCATTTGTTTGCCATACGCACTCGGCCTTGCCCAGCTTTAACAGCAGCCCATAACTTGTTTGAGGCTGTGAGAGTAGGCATTCTGGCCAGCCAACCGTAGGAGACTGCACTGATAGCAAACATTCTGGCATACCGCGCAAAGCAGTCATACCCGAGTTTGAGGCTTCCAAGCACCGTGAGCCTTTCCGTTGCCGTGGCGAGGCGTTCAGACTCCTTGTCATGGTCAGTGCGAGGCCTGCTGCGGCTGGCAACACCCAGGAATAAAACATCCGCTCTGATTACGCTAGGGTCAAAGTTGCAAGCAAGACAAGCTTTCTGCCTGAGGCTCTTTGCAGCAACCTGAGCTTTGGACAGACTCTCAAGGAGTCCTACTCTGGAGCTCCAGGATTCCCAGCCCTGGATTTTAAGCTTCAGGCTGTCGACACTGCTGGCCGTGAAAGACCTGTCATCCATGAACACGGACGTACAGCCATCCCGAGCAACCCAAGGAGGGGAGTTAGAAGCCACCCATCTGCAGCCGGCCGACAACCACAAGGCGGCAACAAGCGGGCCAGCAGGGTCGCCTTGTGGCACAGCAAGAGTGCAGGCCATCGGCCGATTGGCAACGTGACCTTGGTATGACAACCAACGTTTGTGGCCAGTCCACATGGTCCCTGCAAGCGCGGCGAGTCCATGGTGAAATCCAACATGTTGAAGCAACTGCACAGTAGCCTCAGGTCTAAGGCAATCGAAGCATTTGGTGTAGTCCAAGCTGCCAAGAAAACCTGTGCTGCTGTAGCTATTCAGAACTTTTGCAGCCAAGACTTGGGCATCCGAGCCGCAGCCATAAGCAACGTCAGGGTGGATCACTTGAGCAGTCCAAGCACGACACTCATCCCTACGAAGCCACGTGCTCATGAGCACTCGCCACCATATGCTCAAGACCGTAATAGGTCTAGCATCGTCAGGCTTGAGTTTGCCATCAACGATTTTGTGGTCTTTACTTAAAAACACACAACGCGCATGCATGAGTGGCTTGGGGAGTTCACCGATCGCAAGCCATCTTTCGACCAAAGCACGGTACCAGCCCCAGACTGGCAACGGCAAGTGCCTGGTGTCTTCCGCTGCCCAGCCGTCTCCACCAGCAGCCCCTCTCATGCCGGAGGCCTGTTTGTGGAATTCTTGGGTCGACGGGATCGTCCAGGCGATCTGGGAAGGAGCCTCACTATTTTCAATGAGTCTAGCAGCAATGGTGTTAGCATCAGGAGAAGTTTCTTCAACTTTGCTCCAGAACTGCGCCCAATACTCCCGGATGGCTTCAACAGCTTCTTCGTTGTTGTGAGCGACCGGGCCGTCGGTCGGCTTTATGTCAGGGCTTTGAATGCCTTTTCTGTTACGGAGCCAGCGCCCAGCAAATTTCATGTCGCTGATAAAATCATGCTTCCACTGATCAAGCCTGGCCTTTCGGGTTTTGTTTTCAATCTCCGACAGATTATGTTTGGCAACATCAAGCTCTTGGCAGACTCGACGCACCGACCAACCATGCTCACGCAGCGCAAGTCGATTGATCAAGTTGTGGCAAGTTCGAGTGTGCTGAACCTTGCGAGGGTTGTCGTCTTGCAGTCTGAGCAGCAAGCAACGCTTAAGCTCGTACAGTCTGGCAACACGTTTTCGGAGCTTGGTAACTCCCATGGCACCTTTGCCATTCAGGTCACCGCAGCGCTTGGGATGCCGACTCTTGTGTACGGGCTCCAAACCACACAGACCTGAAGCTCTTGCTTTGTGCGCCGCCTCCTTTCGGACCTGTTCATCCGGGTGGTGCGAGGCAAGGTGGGCGAACGTTCTTCGCATGAGCTCATTCAGACAATCAAGAAAAAGTTTCCACTCACTCTCAACATCGATTTGTTTCTGAGCAACCGCCGAGGCGAGGGCCTCAACATTAACACGACTCCATTCTCTCAGGAGCAAAGCTTTCCACTCGCTGTTCGTTAATGTATCCGGTTTTCCCAGTTGGGGCCGGTGTCAAGGTAACCTTGAGCGGACAGCTGGCGCGGAAGAGCAACATCAAGCACAACTGGTATGTGGTCACTGATGTAGTAGAGTTGCTGCCAAGGGTCCTTGCACTCCGCCGGTCTGTTAGTGCAGTACCAATCAATCTCTCTGTTGCTTGGTTTGCCACCTGGGCCCGGGGTGTATCCTTCAAGCCATCTGGTGCCAGCACCAGTGGTCAAGGTCGTGCCACTGTGAGCAGCCCCAAGATTGGCGATGTTACTGTCACATGGGATGACATTGGCGTCACCACACCAGACCCATTGTTTGAACTCAGAGGGGAATTCAAGCATCATGTTGAGGAGGGCTTCACACACTTCTATCTCGGCAGCAGCATGAGTCCCTGGGGGAGCATAGAAGTTAGCCAAGGCCCATCCTTCAACCTGAAGACAACAAACCTGCGAGTGGACTCCAGAGAAGTCTTTAAGAAACCTAGCTTGAAGTCTCTTGTCAACGAGCCACGCAACTCCCCCTCTTTCGCGGCGAGCACCAAACCCGTTGTCAGTTGGCTCTCCTATCGTGTAGAAGACTTTGAAGCCTCGCTTTTGATCTGCTGGTCTGCCATGATTTCGTGCAGCTGTATAGCTAATGCAGAATTGCCACAGAACAGTGCATTGGGTGTTGTGAGCTCTCGGCTGTACAAGCTTGGCCTTACAGAAAAGGCAGGGGGAGCTACACCGGGGATATAACTGACACAGTTTGTGAGCAGCATCATTGTATAATCGGAAGAGCTCAGCATGTGTGCGACGGTAATGCAGTTTCATGGCTTTATGCGAGGCAACCCACTGTCCACAGACCAGACAATGCTGAAGATAGACGTCAGTGTCTGTGTAGTGAAAGATAGCTCGGGAAGTGTACTGTCGGACTAAGTCTGGCCATGGTGGTTCAGCAAAGAGTGCAGGTCTCTGGGATGCTGGCACAATCGGCTCGACGGGCGCAACAGGTAATAAAGCATGTTTGGCTGCACAGTAATTGCCTTCCACATGCCTCTGCAGAAGCTGCCAAGTGGGAAACCGTTTTCCGCATGCCGCACACTGGGGCATTCCGCCGATGGCGTCGGTTGCCCGATTGAATGTGGGATGCTCAAGTTCTAGCAAACTTTCAGGATGTTGTTTGGCCACGTGAGTTAGCAGCGCAGAGCGTAGGGCATAGCCGATGCCACAGACTGGGCAAATGCATTTGGACACACTCAAGGTTGGCACTTGGAGCGCAGATGACTCAGGTGGTGGCTGAAGGCTTGCCTCAACCTGGCGCCACCATGGGTCAGTAGGCCCGCATATTAAGGCATCAGTCGGTGTGGATGCACTAGATTTGCGATGGGCCTCCTTCGTGAGGAGTCTCTGCAGCATAAGGTGTGGCAGTTCAAGACCCGCCTGTTGAGCTATGTCAGCATTAGTTGTGAAGGTGAGGTGGACTGGGCTCCTGAGGATGGAGGTGCTTGATCACAGCAGTCTCCAAAGTCTTGTGACCTGATGGCGTAAGGCCACATGCTGGCAGAGCATAGGAGATGCTGCTCCAAACACAGGATCTCCATAGGTCAACTCTCTGTGCAGCAGTCAGATGGTGACGTCCTTTGAGGACAGAACCAAGGCGGTTGTAGGTGGCAGTGCCTTTATCTAGTCGGTACTGGAGAGTTTGGTTCTCAAAAGCCTGATAGCTAACCTGTGCACCAAGGTACGTGAATTGCGAGACTAGGGGGATGGCCAAGACTCGACTTCGTAGCTGAATGCGTAGAACTCGGCCTCCAGGGACCTTGCGGACATAGCGACGGGTGATGGTGTTGCTTAGGGTGCCCCGTAAGATCAGGACTGCCTTGGACTTGGCATCACTGACCTCCATGCCGAAAGCTTCCAGAGTGCTGAACAGGGCAACGATACAGTCAAGGAGTGCCTCAAATTCCGGTATGCTTTGGAAGGTGTCAGCTGCAAAGTGGTCGTCAGCAAAGACCGTGAGGATCTGATTCACTTTGTCGTGGCCTATACGGGCTGCAAGCCTAGTGCATATTACATGCGAGAAGATCAACCACAACAGAGGTGAGGCAGAGCAGCCTTGGCGGATGCCACGGCTTGCCGGGAAGGTGCAGGATTGATCGGCGTGTCGCACGGTATAGTGAATCTGTGAGTGCCATTGCATGACGTCAAACGCCTGTGACAGATCCAAGGTAATCATTAAGGCACCAAATAAAGGGACAGGTTTGTGGCCTGCTTTGCGAGCACGCAGGTCTTTGCGATGATAACCAAGTTCTTCCCTCACAGAGGCACAGTGCTTGAAGGCTCGACGCAGTGCATCGTACTGGGCCCGACCTTGCTGATATGCATATTGTGGAAACTGCTGGATGGCATGGAGCAGGGAGGGTATGTAGGGACTGAGCATGCAGCTGAGTACTTTTTTCCCTAGGGGGCATGATAGTCCTATGGGCCTATGGTCTGCCGGTTTTGTGCCCGGTTTGCCCGGTTTGGGGACCAGGGCGAGGTCTACATCCGCCCAGCTAGGGGGAACAGCAGCCTCCTTATAAGCCCACGTCTGCGTGAGGCATGCACACAGCCATGGCGATACAAGATCGGCACAGCTTCGCCAGATGGCGCTCGGAGGGTGCTCTTTCGGAACTGCTTTGCGACGTGGAACTAGCATCAGCTGCTGGGAGAGCTCGTTGGGGTCAAGCTCCGGAGCAGCTGCAGTGAACCAGGGACCCCTGGTCGCATTCAGAGCAGCAGTGTTGGTTTCACAAAACCGCTTTTTGAAATGATTAGCCAGGAGGTCCACCTCCTGGGCTGCATCAAGCATTCGCCCTTGGGCATCTCGTAGTTGTAGTCGATGTCTGGTCTGTTTTGGGGCAATTCGATTCACAACTTGGAAGATCCCACGTGTGTCATGCTTGTATGCACATTAATTGACGAGCCTCGTCCATGGCAGCAGTAAGAACCCGTTTTCGGGCAGCACGATAGGTGGCTTGGTGCTGCTTGTGGTGAGCAGCAAAGACTCGCCAAGCTCTCCAAGCCGCAAACCATCCGCGTAGCCCGTTCTTTCGGATTCTTTTGAAGGCTTTCCACTTGTCCCACATGGACCTGATCCCACTTTGCACGTCAGTGGTTTGCCAAGGTTTGACGGGAGCTGAGGTGGCGGCCTTCGGGAAGATTTGCAGACAAACCCGGTACAGGACCGTATGTAGCTGTTCGACACCAGCCAGCGTTGGGTTGGTCTGCATGTGGCGCATGGCTGCCTGGCGAAGGTGGTTCAGCTGCCATGCATGTTCAGGTTGAGTGGGGTTGTCAATGGCAGTCAGAAGGGCCTCGCGATCAATGGAGTGAACAGCTCGTTCTGGAGCACGAGTCCAGTGCGGTCTACGCAAATTGAGGCAGCAGAGCAGTGGGAAATGATGGGCGCCGCCCTGCCTAGACGCTCCCACTGGGAAGTGGTGCATTGCATATGCCTGCTTAGCCTGCGAGGTGGCGTCTCGTCGTCGCACCCACAAGAAATCGATTTGAGACTCGACCTGGCCCCATTTGAAAGTAGAGGCGGTTCCGGAGGTCGGGTGCCTCCAAGTATTCAAGGAGATAAGGTCAAATGCTCGATACAGGTCAACAAGGTCCTGGACATCCTCCGGCGGGTGTTGAGGCATGGGCAGCACGTGAGGTCCTACGTGGGGCAGATCAACAGCCACAGGGGTATTGAAATCCCCGGCTAACAAGATTGAGTCCCTGGCAGGAACACGTCCCAAGCTTTTGTGCAGCGACTGCCAGATTTGCTGGCGCTGATCGAGGCAGGTGGCAGCCTTCATACTGTACACTTTCTGGTAAACTCCAAAGATGTGAAGGTGTCGTGCCTCTCGTCCCGGTAAGGGGAGACGGACGTGTGTAATTCGCCCCTGCAAGGTGTGGTCATACCGTAGTTGGGACGGGGGCACTAAGGACTGCCGTATCAAGATTAAGACTCCAGCTTCTTTCCGGCTCCGACAGCCTCCATGTACGCATATCCAATCTCCTGACGTGAACTCAAAGTGATCAGATCAGTCCAGCGGCTCTCGACCACGATAGCGATATCGATGGAAGACTGGGTTAAATAAGTCATGAACTCTGGGTATAGGCCTGAGCCAAGTCCACCCGAGTTCCACGACAGTACACGGAGGCCACGGATACGCTCCTGTCGAAAGAGGTGTTTGGCTGGTACACTGGCTGGTAGTCTTCTGAGCTGTGAGGGCACGTCCTGTGCCCACAAAGTACGCCCGCGATAGCGGGTAGAGCCTTGTTGCAGTGCACGGCGGCATGCTCGATGAAAGGCACGCTTGACGCAGCGGCTAGGATCGCGCGAACTCAGACCGTGGCTATTAGGGAGGTCACTGGGCTTCGGCGCCGAAGCCAAGGGAGGCATTGTTGTGGAAGCACCTCCAGCAGCTCTAGTGACGTGAGCTGCAACCCTCGCTTCTGATCCCACAGCGGTCACACTCTGGAGTTGCAGGTAGACGAGTAGAAGTTTGTGCAACCAGCTTACATGGGATCCTCGGGACTTGGGACCCGAGCGGCTCGGTAAAGGAGATGTGGCAGATGCCGTGACAGTGGCTGAAGCACCTGCAAGGGTGCAATCGGTACCACGAGCTGTTGTGGTAATGACTGAGAGACTTGCCTCCGGTCCAGCACTGGACTGGGTCACGTTGGGGGCACCACAGTGCCGGCTGGTTGACCTGGGCCAACACCGGAGCAAGGAGAATGCAATTGGGATGAGGATTCACAGTTGGGTTGATTGGCCCGCCTCGCTGTGAGGGAGTACGCAGGTATGTGCCAGGCGGCTGGCCGAGGGGTACCTGGAGAAGGGGCCGTATGGCAGCACAGAGGCTCTGGCAAGGCAAGTCCAGACAACGGCAATGCAGAGCAGTGTCACTCGGGCAATTGCATGCAGTGGCTCCACTTTTTTGCATGGGAGGGCCGGTCTCGGCTGCTGTGGTGCGAACCGGCTACACTGGAAGAGCTGTAGAAGTGACCATAGGAAGAGCTGGCAGGGCCGGTATTTCGTAACTGGTAGGCTCCGCATGCCAGACTGTCGGACTGTGCGTGGCACTAGGGGCGTCATGGGCAGGCGGGGACTTAGGGTCCAGGTCATGGCTGGCCGTACTCGAAGCTAGGTTGGCCGGAGCCGTGAGCATGTTGGGGCTTACGGGTGGGGAGGCCTCGGGTGCCCACCTGGTACCCGAGTCCGGTGCTGGCGGGCGGGACCTCGATCTGGATCGTGGTCCACCTGCTGTTGGGGCCGGTGACCCTGCTTGTCGATCACGGCTTTGGTCCTCGCGATACATATGGAGCCTTTCCCGAGTTTCATGTAGGCAGTTGGTGGCTTGAACCCGTCCTCTGATTCATACAGCGTGCCAGTTGCATCGGGCTCCGTATCTGCCGAGTCATCAGGAGGTAGATGGCCGCTTGGAGGTGGCATGGCTGCAATGGTAGAGGTTGTCGCCAGGGCAGGGGCTATGGTAGCAGAGGGAGGTCTTGTTGCGGTCCGGTCTCGATCGCTCTCCGAGTCTGCTTCCGAGGTGTTTGGGTCATCAGTACGTCCCTCGGATTCTGGTGCCGTTTCTACTCCACCTTCCTCATGGACTCCATGGTCGACGTTGTCATCGTAGAGGGCGTTGTTGAGGTCCTGCGGGTCTGTTCTGGCAAGCATGTACTCTTCGGCCGGCGTGGCCTCCCTGAGGCTGATCAGGAGAGATCGCCAGGTTGCGACTTCGGCATACTCCGGGGCCCTCACATACGCCGGTCCGGTCAGCTGGAGGTGGTGGAGGATATTGGCCGCCAAAGTGCGGTGCCATCGTGGAGCATCACCTGCCTCACCGTGGGGAGCCCGGGTTGGCCACGTTGCAGCTATGCCCATGGAGTCAACTCCAGCTGAAGTCGAGGTGGAGCCTGCGCTGGGTTCAGTTCGTCGAGCTCGGAAGTGGGCCATTGTCGACGGAGCATTGACCGGTTGGGGTGGAGGAGGTCCATATGGTGGCGCATGAAGTGGGACGTGATCGGGCAAGGGCGCCCGCTCTGCAGCTGTCATTGGAGAGGTAGGAGCCGATCCCGAGCTTTCATTGCCCTCTTCGGTGGCCTCTGCGTCCATACTGGCTTCTTCGACGACACTGTCGTGAAGAGGATCCCGGTCCATGTTTGAAGCCGTGGGATTAGAGTAGCCCAGCCAGGGTTCAGGGCTTTCAACACGGTCGGTTGACCCGTCCAGTTGTAACAGGTGCTGAAGTCCTTGCGGCCTCTGAGATCCCTGAGGTACCGTTTGGCTAGGTGCAACCTTGGGGGACCTAACCCCTAAAGGGCCTATGGTGGGGTGAGGGATGGGCATAGTGCATGTGGTATGCGGATACATCTGCCTGCTTGAGCACTGTCGCCCTGTCTCTGATGTGAGGCGTCAGTGGCAGCCACAGTCTACAGTAAAGCTCTCTGCAAATGATCCTGCAACCCTCAACAAAGCTTGCATGGGCGCACATGGAGATCGCAGTGGCAGCTGGCACCCAGGAGAGAAGGCTTGCAGCTGCCCGATAGACCTGTGAAGGTAGACGGGTGTGGGAGAGTTTTCGCCTACGTCGGCAGCGACGAGCAGGGGCCTGTGGTTTGAGTTTCCAGAGTCGACTGCGACGTCCTAGACAACTTCTTGTATACACAGGACTGCTCTGGCTTTGGTAAGCGTTGTGCATCCCAGGTCCTGACCGTTGTGGTGTCAGGGAACCAACACAGAGGTGACAGGGTGCAGTTTCGGCTGTCCCAATTCCGTCCACATAACAGCCAGTTGACAGATAAAGGCCAGATTGGAGTTCAATCCAATCCTTCCAGGGCCTTCTCGCAGCACTGGAGTTTGCCAACGATGCAGGGAGTCCATAGATAGTATGCCAGGGCAGGATGTGCTCGCGTACACCAGGAGCGTGTTTCCGGCACCTGAGACGGGTACTTGGAGGCTGCAACAGCCTCCAGGACCCATCCTGGGTCGCTTCTCTTCCATCTAGTCTCAAAACAGTCAAAATATCTGTGGTCATTCCTATAGCCACCGGCTTGGTTGTACATGTCCAGAAGAACCATTCGCAGGAAGTCATCCTGTATGTCATGGTTTTGCCTGTCAGAATCGGCCTGAGCAGAACAGGTGGCACATGCAGCTGGGCGGCTGGGAACACCCCAGTCGTGGATTTTGTTACATCCATGTAGGAAGCCGATGAAGCATAGTGCATGAGCAGTATCAGAATTGCATGCAGTCTGAGAAGCCATTGCAGCCCGCGGGCCAAGTCGTGTTCAGTTCAGGGTCTTGGGCCTGCTAGTCAGCTTACCGTTAGGAAGAGAGCCACAGAAAATTTTCGGCATCGCCCACTCGCTGTGAGCCGAGAAGCTTCTACTACTAGTCTTTCCACTACTACTACTACTACTACTACTACTACTACTACTACTACTACTACTACTACTACTACTACTACTACTACTACTACTACTACTACTACTACTACTACTACTACTACTACTACTACTACTACTACTACTACTACTACTACTACTACTACTACTACTACTACTACTACTACTACTACTACTACTACTACTACTACTACTACTACTACTACTACTACTACTACTACTACTATTTTTTCAATTGAACGCTGCGCGAGCGTGCTCTGCGCTTTGCGGGCGCCTTTGGTCTCGTGCACTCGTGAAACTGCTGCTAGCATTCATCGCTCAAACCTCTCAATCTGCTCAGTCTACTCAGTTACTGAGTTGCAACTATGGCTTCCTCCTCCGACACCTTGTTGTGAACAGACGCGTCCGTCTGTGCACCTGTCCCAGCAAGTAGGCCGTACTTCAGACGAAGCCGACACCTGGAGTATCCGTCTCGTGGCGTCCCACACGGATTACTCATGCTGTTGACAGAAGGCCGTAAAGATCACATGGCATACCTGCAGAGCTGATTGAGTCAAACTGTGATAGCTGACTGATCGGATCAGCTCAGACGGAGTGCAGAGTCCTGCATTTTGCCTTGGTGATCGCTCTGCACTGCAGCTTCCGAAGAGATTTGCAGAAGCGTCGGAAGAGCATCGAATTCCCAGAGGCTGTGCCATACGGGATTTGGGGAGTCTGTGACATTGCTCTAGGTTCATTGGTTGTGACCATGCGGCCACTGCTGTGAAGAATGATAGTAGCCGTGCCAGGACCACTGTTGCCACCAGTCCCAGTCTTCTTCCTGAGAGGAGCGTGCCGGCCTGGCCCACTGACTCGAGGATGAAGATGAAGGGGCATCGCGTTGGCGTTTGCCCTCTGTGTCTGCCTCCTGCACCTGTGGGCGCTTGTTGGGTGCGGCAGCCGCAGCCAATTTAGCCATGCGCCTGTCCTCCTCAATCCCCTTGTCATGCTGAATCCGCATCTTCATGACGGAATAGGCATCTTTATTGGGTTTGACCCTGAACATCCTAGCTGGGAGTCCGGCGGATTTTGCAGTTTCGTTGTAGACCGTCATCATTGTAGTAGCGATCATGTTGAACTCAATCCGCGTTGGGAAGTGCCGTTGGAACTCCTTCTCGTCCCACAACCTGTTGAAACAGGCATGGATCAGGCCATGCACCTTTGTGGGAGCATCCAGCTCCTGGTAGGCTTCTCCAGAGCC